AGTCAGAAATTCAATATTAAATATTAAATAATATATCAACACACAAAGCATAGAAATAAAATAATTCCCTTAATTTATACAATATATTTCTTCATGTAAATTCCAAACAACATTAATATTAAATTAATAATAAATTGAAGTCAGAAATTCAGTATTAAATATTGATCAATATACCAACACACAAAGCACAGAAACAATTCCCTCGATTTACACGACACATTCTCCACATAAATTCCAAACAACATTAACAATAAATTAACATTAAATTAACATTAACTTCCCTCAAAAAATAATATAACAAAAAATCCCGAGTGCAAGGGGTAAAAATTACATACCAATAAAAGCCCTACTTCAAATCCACTCATCAACACGGTCGTGAACAACCCCGAGAAGCAGCCTCGAGTGAACCGGCATCCCAAGCATCGCGTCCAGGTCTTCACCTCGCGAATCCCCGACGCGTCTCCATCGACAACGCGCACCGAGCCCGAGCAACACTTCGCGGAAAATTCGCGCGGCACACAACGTGTCAGGGCCGAGAATAGCCGCGTATTCTAGTTCCAGTAAATTGCATAATGGGAAGGTGAACTCACATAAGTATCCGTAATCTGATAACCGGCGCGAGAGAGCCGAACGCGCGGACGGCCGGACGGTTTTTCTGCTCGCCACGGGAAGTCGCCGGTGCGCGAGCCGCCGGATCCGCAGCGGGGCCGTCGCAGCAGCCGAACTGCCCGCCCGGCGGGCGGCGGCATCGACCGTTACGCGTCCGCGTTTTCCAGTACCCCCGCCGTATATTTACCTTTGCCGGGCTCGTGAATCTTTCTAGCGACGATTCGGGAGGCACGCGGGTTTTTCATGACACTTTGAATACTTGGGAATATTTGGGTATTGTTAGGTGAAGATTTTGGAAATTATCTGTGATGATTTTAGAAATTATGTATAATGATTGAAATGGAATATAGCAGTGTGTATTTTTATATTTAAGTTTAAAGTTTGTTATGAATGCAGTAGAAACGATAGTGCGCGGAATATTCCGCGCTTGGTGACAGGTGACGATTTTATTTGGAAATTAGGTGTGATAATTAAAATAAAATATAGTTGTGTATATCTGTATATTGAAATAAAATATAGCAGTGTATATTTTTATATTGAAATAAAATATATTAGTGTATATTTTTATATTTAAATTTAAAGTTTATGAATGCAGTAAAAACAGTAATACGCGGAATATTCCGCGTCCGGTAATAAATGGAAAGTCGCGGTTCACGGAATAATCCGCTTTTGGTGATAGGTCACGACCTCGCTCAAAAACTACGTGGAATAAGTTGAAAAAAAAGACAGTGCTGCACATTTATATATTTAACAAAAGTAAAATTTATTAACACTAGAACTATCGAGCAGTCAAGTTGACTTTTAAAGATTTTCCCATGGAAACCCCATGAGTTCTATCGAGACTTTGATCATTCAAATCATCACGTATTAAAACAATTTTTTTAGAAATTTCTTAAAGGATCTATTGTTTTCTCAATAATTGTAAAAAAATTTTAGGGTGGGTCACTTTTGACCCATCTAGTAATTCTATCAAGAACGCAGTGAAAACTGCAAAAGGTGCTCACAGACTCACTCAGAAATTACGTGCAATAATTAAAAACAAAAACACTAGTACACATTTAAATATTTAACAAAAATAATATTTAAAAACAGTGCAAGAAGGACTACCGAAAATCGAATAACGTGGTGCGCGGAATATTTCGCGTCCAGTAATAAATCACAACCTCAAAATTTACAACAATTAAAACAAAAAACACTAGTACACATTTATATATTTAATAAAAATAAAATTTGTGAACAACATACTGAAAACAGTGCAAAAAGGGCTACCGAAAATCGAGCAACGTGGTGCGCGGAATATTCCAGTGACAAGCGAAACTCGCGGAACAGTTCGTTTCCGGTGACAGGTGACGATCGCGGTCCGCGGAATATTCCGCTTACGGACGCAGACGGGTAAAAAGCGAAATTGTTCGGGCCATGCCCGGCGCAGAGGAACATACCTTCTTTGACAGACTGAACATAGACGGGGTTATCGCCGGAGACTTTCATCCCGTATCCGGCCTCGTCCATGTAGACGACGAGGGTGGCAACGGGTGCTAGTTCGACGGTTCCACCCCCGGCGGCGCCCACGCCGCCCCCGACGCTGCGTCGCAACGCCGCCGTTCCATTCATCCCTCCTTCGATCTCCGCCTGGCCTCCCCTTACCTCTGCGCCGGCTGCAGTACAACTGTATGACCTGCGAACGGGACAAAATCGACGTCAACGCCGCGGATCTCTGTTTGGCTCGCTCGCCGTTTCGCGGGTGAATTTCGGGGCTATTTCTTGTCGTGTTTACCCTTTGCACTCGGACGGTTTTCACTGGATATACTTCAACCAGTTAACTGTGTTTGACGAGTGTATTCGTCATGGAGACGTTGCGGGAGTTTATGTTGTGACGAGTATACTCGTCAGGGAAAAGTTACAACTTCTCCACAATGTCAAACACAGTTGACCGGTTAATATTTTTTTGTGAGATGAAGACGATGTTTTGTGGAACGAGGAGAAATTATAAATATTGAGGAACGAAGCTGTTTTATTTGCACAGTATAATGTTGAATATCAAATTTTATAGTTTTATTGTACGAAGAAGAGCGGTGAGTGAGTTTAACATTTTCTGATGAGATAAAGATGATTTTGTGAAACTGACTCGAAGCTATTTTATTTCAATATTTCTCAAATTGATGTATTGTACGAGGTGTAAAATTAAGTATCGCATTTTATAGTTTTACTTATGAAGTCGAGTGGTGAGTGAGTTTAACATTTTCTGATGAGATAAAGATGATTTTGTGAAACTGACTCGAACGAAGCTATTGTATTTCAATATTTGTTAAACTGATGCGTTACAGAAAGTATAATATTAAGTTCTTCTACGCAACAATAGCTCCAGTATAGACTAGGATGATCACATTGTTACCACGTAAGAACAGTGACTGATTACGCTTTTGCTGACTTTGCATCTGCATTTGCTGAGTTTGGCTGGCCAATTTTGTTTAGAGTTTCTCTTAATTAAACTATCAATTACAAAACAGAAACATAAAAATAAACAATTTAGACGACCAATTTTTCTTAGTGAAAATAAAAACAGAAGAAACGACAAAAATTGAAAAACTGATCAATATCTGAATTACAAAACTGTTGAAAAGTAGAATGGACGAAATAAAGAGCAGGATTTTTAATCAAGAATAAATTTTGAATAAATAAATAAATAAATTTTAAATCAACAATAAATTTAGTGTTAAAGATGAAGCCTGTTTGAGTTTAATCAATTTCCCACATTTATACGAGTACAGTAAAGCTCGCTTAAATTTCACAATTTTGAGCCCCAGCAGTGAAATTTAAGCGAGCAGAGAAAACAGGAGGAAACTATTCGCTTTTAGGAATTGACTCGAGCACAGCCTGACAAAGGCAGAGAATCGGTATAGCGAGTGGAAGTGGGATAGACTATTTACAATAAATATTTATAGAATATTTCAATTTCGTAAAATTGAAGTTACCGAATGTAAAATTTCCTGTGCTTAATAAATAAAAAATTAAAGCAATATAGAATTAAATGCACGACAGTATGGTTTAAAAATTTAAGTCTTATAACATTCATGTTGTTCTCCATCGCAATGAAAATGTACACTATAGCATTGTCCGTATTAATATGCAATTTTGTTCTTGAAATCAACACAGAATTCAAATTTGAAATTTTATTAACCCCTTGATACATAAATTTCCTTGTGACCTATGCTATTCACCATCAAATCAAGCATTGCAACAATTCAATTTATAAACAACTTTTCCAATTCCACACAAAGAAATACTAAATAATGTCATCAATTCATTCTATTTCCAAGCAGTAAAAAGATAAATAAATAAATGTACAAGTAAAGCCTAACAGATTCTCGACAGCAATACTTCACAAATGTCTTCAAACTGAATATCACGCGAAGGGGAACCGGTTGTGAAAAATAAGTTTTTGTAACGATCATTTTTTATCCGAACCACTGCACCTTTTTTATTTCCCATGCACGTTGAAAACAATATTTTATGGGACATCTCACGCTGAATCGCAACGAAAAAAACAGGAGTCCATTCGAGAGCATCTTCGCCAGTGGGAACGCGAAATAACGCTAAAACGTTATTCAAATAAAAACGCATTCGCACGTTCTAGTCGTGTCGCTGCTCCGCCACGGAAAGAGCGGAACAAAGATGGGCAAGGGCGAGGTTCACTGGGTATCGAGCGCTGGCGTTCGCCTAACGCGTCGTCCGCTTTTATCGGTAGAAGCGAGTCTGATATCTGCGCGATATCGAATTTATCGAATTGATGTTCCCACTGATTTCTCACGTAAATAAAGACGTAAAATAGGTGACGATTTTTTAATAAATAAAAAGAAGTATATCGATAAATACCAATTCCTTTTTTATTTATTTTTTAATAAACCAATAAATAAATCAAATATATTTAAATAATTGATATATTTGAGAAGGTAAAGTTAAACATGCAACGAAGAAAATTTTAACCTTTCTTCTCAAATATAGTGGCAATGAATTTCTGTAACTACTTTTACGATTTCATGGAATCGAGCCTTTAGTTTCGTCAATAACATTAAATCTGTAAATCTAGTCCGATTCCCATCGTGTTTGGACTCATTTTAATCGGGACGATCTCAGCAATCCACTGACACTACATTTAAGAATGTAAGATTAAAATCATTGCAACTGAAATTTGTTTAATTGCATGGGTCCCTTATTGCATCTGTGCAAATACAAAAATTTACAATTTTTTGTAAAAGCCTTCTCATCACTTAAATACTTGCAAACTAAAAATTCTAAAATGGGTCAATTTTGACCCATGGTTAGTATTAAATGATTTTCAAAGATTTTTTTGAATATTTCAGAAATGGAAGCTTGGTCGTTGTATGTATAAGATGAAGTTGTTCAGAATGATAACAATGCCATTTATTTCAAGGTCATCGTAATTACAGATAACGTCCCTTATCTAAACTATTATTATTATTATTATTATTATTATTATTATTATTATTATTATTATTATTATTATCATCATCATTATTGTTGTTGTTGTTGTTGTTGTTGTTGTTGTTGTTATTGTTATATTTCTGATACTAACTTTTTTAATCAAACGTTTAGAAGCTTTCTGTTGCGTGACACAATTTATCTTATTTTTACCTGAAGAACTGGCACAGTTTATTATGTGAATATCATTATCTGTTAGAAATTCAATGTACGAATGTTTTATTCAACGCGAGGTTTGATGTACTGTATGCATTTCGTTTTTAGTGTGTTATGTTCCAATTGTGGCGATGAGAGCTGGTATTCTGTTACACGTGCTCGTTGTTTTTATTATTTAATGTATTATTTATATAATAAACAATAAATAATAAATAATAGATAATGAATAATATATAATAGATAAACAATAAATAAAAGAAATAATGACCTACACAATGAATAATGAATAAAAGAAATAATAAACTAAATAACAAACTAAATAATGAATAAAAGAAATAATAGACCAAATAATAAACTAAATAATGAATAAAAGAAATATTAGACTAAATAATAAAGTAAATAATGAACAAAAGAAACAATAAACCAAGTAACGAACAAAAAAAATAACAAACTAAATAAACATCGTATATGATAGAAACAATGATAATTTTGTCAGAAAATAGGATTTCAGGCTGCACACGGTAAACAGGCATGCCGAGCACAAGTAAACACACATCTCGGAAACGAACGCCGTAAAAGCGTTAATTGTGATTTTAATGTATATAATTAAATCCCTCGGGAATTCATCACTTCGACCGAGAAATCGCTTGTTTTCTTCTGCGCTGATTATCCGACCATTTGCAAAACGCTACATAGTTGCAGAAACAGCGCAAATAATTGTAATTAACTTAAAGACAAAGATATCGGTAATTTGGAAATTAGGAACGAGATAATGAGTCAGCTTGATGAATATTAATGGCACTTGTGTTTTACATTTTAAAACTGTCGTGCATATATTGAATTTTTTACATAAATAAAAATGTAAAATAAATTAGGATTTCTTTAAAAAAAGCAATTGGTGATTGTTTATTGGTATAATTTTGTTTATTTATTTGAAAAATTGAAAAAGCAATTAGTAATTATTTATTGGTATACTTTTTTTATTTATTAAAAAAAAATATATGAAAAGCAATTGGTAATTATTTATCAGTGTACTTCTGTTTATTTAAAAAAATTAAAAGAGCAATTGATAATTATAGGTATACTTCTCTTTATTTATTTAAAAAAATAAAAAAGCTATTGGTAATTATTTATTGGTATACTTTTGTTTATTTTTTTTAATAAACGAATAAATAAATCAAATATTAACGTAGCACTAGTATTTTACATTTTAAAACTGTCGTGCATATATGCGAGATTAGGCGAATGGTTCTGGCTGAGTCATGTTAGGCACACTCTAAATCGTAGAACTCACGACGAAAATATTTCTTTGGTTTATTTTTGTTTCATTGTCGTTTCGGAGAGTCCTTAACCCTTAAGTGCCAAGAACGGTTTACGCTACAACCTTTTGACATGAGACCATTGTTTTGGATAATTGACAAAATGTTATTTGTGAGGACATTGATTGTTATTTTGGATAATTGAAAAAATGTTATTTTTGAGGACATAAATTAAATGTTAATGGATCCATTATTGTGAACAATTGACAAAATGTTATTTATGAATCCATAAATTAAATGTTTTACAAGAGTCCATTATTTTGAATAATTGACAAAATGTTATTCATGAGTCCATAAATTAAATGTTAATGGATCCATTATTTTGAATAATTGACAAAATGTTATTCATGAGTCCATAAATTAAATGTTAATGGATCCATTATTTTGAATAATCGACAAAATGTTATTTATGAGTCCATAAATTAAATGTTAATGGGTCCATTATTCTGAATAATTTCATTCGATAATGAATAAGATATAATAAAGAATAATATGATAATGAATAATAATAAAGACAATGACAATGAATATATTTAATATTAAATAACACTTAAAATGTTATTTATGATTTTTCTTAAGGTATCTGTCTTATCAATTACAGAAGATAAGGAGTCAACAATATTTATTCTAATTATTCATTTTTATTTTATTCGTTACCCATTAATTTCTTTAAGACATATTTCATTGTTAAATATATTTT